AACCTTAATAATTCTATGATTCTATGATTAGTAAGTTTATGCTGTGAGTGAGATTAAGTGCATCACACGAAGACTGAAACCGAAAGAGGTGGATACCAGCAACTTCTTTAAAGAATCAATTTATTTGCAGAGATGCTGATTTGACACTTGCAACAGGACTTTGCTGTTCTTTTTTTGTTAATTTTTAGGTTACCTGTCAAAGGCTGTATTGGAAGACATTTTTTCTGGAGCGCAGCTCATGTGAACTTTCTGAATGAAATGAAGCAGCGTTTAATAGAGGTAGCAGACTTCCACCATGCTGCCAGTAAAGCACTCAGAGTGGAGAGTCCTGCAGAGGGCAGTGACAGATCACGGGAGATGGCAAGCTGCTCGCCAGATTACCTGACTTCACCAGAACTGCATAAGGAACTTGTCAGGTAAAAAAAGCCTGCCCAGTTCGATCTTATTCAGCTTCCTGAGTAACTGCTAGAGTGGTCTTAGCTGTGGGAGACATGAAGGGATGTGACCCTTGGCTTGGCCGCAGGTATTTGTTATATGGATAGTTGTGGTCAAATCCATTCCTCTGTTGATAAAATTTGTTTTGTTTGAGGGAGAGCCTATTTCACTCCTAAAAATAAAACATTGTTGATAGAGCTGTCACTCCCCTTAGGGAGTTTCTTTTTTTTATGGTTTCTTTTTCCTAGAACACGTAGTTGAAATAGTTATTTGGAGAACTGCTTCTCAGAGAATTTGATCATACAGCATCTGAGCTTCTTTTAAGTGTTTCCCCCCCCAGCAATAGATACATACTGTACAAACAAGTGAGATCATAAATCCTCTTCAATCTTATGTGAAAAATAATCCAGAGTTGCTCATTGGGTGGCACTTGATTAATATTTTGTCAATCTTTTATTTCAAAGGAGTTTCTCCACTCCAACATAAAACCAGACTTGTCTACAGCCAAGTAAATCTTATGCACAGGAAGTTTAGTGACCACCTAGACAGGAGGGAAAATATTGGTAGAGTTCACAAGAGCTGACTTTTGGAACTAGGCTACTTCCATTTTTTTTCATCAATGACACTGATATAGAAAACATGAATTTGCTAGTGATGTGTAATACCACAGTGCAAAGTTTTAATGACATTCTTGTTCTCCCTTATATTTAATCAGGAAATCTTGGATGGTATGATTATAAAAAGGGCACCCCTCAGTAGAGTGATGCCAGTTGAAAAAAGCAGTATATTTATGTTAAAGTACAGTGTTAGTAGAGGAAGAAATGGGATTAAACTAGCCATGAATTTGAGCCTGACAAGAAGTTAAAAGATGTAACTCAGGGGTGAGCTTTTAGAGCAGGCACTCTAGAGAAGCCGTGGGAGGAGAAGCCAAACTTGCTCAGATCTACTCTTTTTAAAATTTATTCATCTTTTGCATGGGGTTGTAAATATGATTCCTTGATGTAAGAGACACTTCCAGTCCTGGGTCATGTTTAGTAATTTGTCTAAATGTTTTCCTTTTAAAATTTATCCTATTACTCTTGGTTATTGCCCATCATATTTTTCTGAAGAGCTTCTTTCTACTGTTGGTGTCTGAACTGACACTTAGTAAGCTAATCACAAACCATCTGAAACATCTACATTTTGAGCTGTGTCACCTTGTAGCATGATTTATCACCTTAACTCTAAACCCCAGAACGAGATTGCTGTGTAATACATGCTATGCATACAATTAAAGTTCACGCTGTTTTATTTTTTTCCTGTTTTTGTTTTTCTTCTTAGGCTTTGTAATGTTTTTGTTTTGTGGTTGGAAGAAGAGAGTTTCCAGAAAGGAGACACATACATTCCTTCTTTACCGAAGCAGTATGATGTACATAGACTTGCTAAAGTCATGCAGAATCAACAGGTAAAGTGACAGTGACATTGGCAAACTGGGATCCAAAATTCACTTTGCTTGTTAAAGTGGGTCCTCTGAAGTAGTGAGAGACTTGGTGTCACTGGTCTTTAGTATGTCTACGGCTGTGATACTTTCACAGCTCTTTTTTCCTAAAAATCCTGTGCTATTCCAAACTTACTTCCTTTATATTTGAGCGAGGACTCACGAGTAGATTTCTTCCATATCTTAATGAAAACACAGTCCTTATTCTCTACTGTTCTGTAACTAATGTCGTGTTGTAAGGTAATTTTAGAGAATTATCTAAGTTGGATCTTAAGACCAAAAGCCCAAATCTGCTCATGTTGGTAGTCTGTGATATATTGCCTTCAAATATAAGTTAGTGAGTGGGAAGGGTATATATTATTCTGTCCACGAAGCCTAAAGAGTTGTTATAGTTAAAGGCGTGCAAGAGGGAGGTTTCAGAAGGGCATTCCTTCCTACCTGCTTTGTTTTTATTCCTCCAGGATGTGTGACTCCTAGAAATGCAGCCTGCTTTAGCCTGATTACAGTTAATCATGCCATGATGTTTTAGACTATTTTGATTTACTCTATGTTCCTTTTTTAGGAACCAAGTTTTAGTAATCTATACCCTTTCTCTCTAATTTGTTAGAAATTATACCATTTGCGTTTGTCAGGTATCCTCTCCAACTGTCACAAATGCTTTTCAGTGGCTTTTATTTTTATTTGATAAGAATTCTGCAGCTTTTTTCTTCAGTTTAGATTTTTTTTTCTGGTAATATTTTCCTATGACTTAAAAATTGCAAAGTCTAGTTTTCTGTACTTACTTTAGTTCCCTAGCTACTGGGATGGGTGCACAATATGTATACTGACCAAAACAGGAGTGATAATTTAAGTCATTTGTGCTTTAGGATTTATGGATGGATTATGTCAATGTTGAACTCATACACCATGAGTTTCAGGAAGCTCTCAACCTTTGGCTACAGGTTCAGCTTGAATCACATACAGCCTCTGTTTCTGCAGGGCAAACAGATTTCACCAACCCTTTATCAGGTAAGAGATAAGAATATTGTTAATGAAACTGGGTCAGAAAGAATTATTAGTCTGCTGAAGCCCTGATTTCTTTAGGAACATGATGATGTCTGTGAGTAAAGATGTTGATACAGTTTGTTAGGTTTTTATGGGTACAGTATTTTGCATGAAGTTTTCATACTGTTCTCACTGAGATGCCCATGTGAGAGGCTAACTTTGATGTTTTTGGTTTAAACCTTGCCATATCACAGAACAGCAGGTTGTTCTGTGCCTAGAGCTGAGCTCCCTAAAGATTCCTTCAGACAGAGCATGCTCCAGACAGGCTGAATTTTCCCGAAGTTTAGATAGGCAGCTGCAAGCAAAGGCAAAAGCCACTAACTGAAAACAGAAAGATTGCGTCTGTTTTTTTTCCTTTTTTTTTTTTTTTATTTTTTTTTTTTTTTTTTGGTTGTTCCCAATGTCCTGGAAATTACCTGGAATTTTGGCATGGGGGAAGGTTTGTTCTAGCACAGAGGGGATGGTGGGGATATGGTGAGATTGGATTTTTTTGGGGGGCTGATTAAAAAATAGGAGGGAATAAGTAGAAGGAAACTGGAATAGTTTTATAGGTGAATTGGCACTGTTTGGGCAGAATGGGAATCAGCAGGAGGAGAGAGCTGACCTAGAGAGAGGCTGTGCTTTGGGGAGGAATTGGAGCTGACAAGACTAGAGGTGAGGATGAATTGTAGGGAAAAGAAGATTAATTTGGCTTAGACTAGGTCTGGGAGTCTCTGTCAGATGAGGGGATAGGAGAATTGGAAGGGTGGAAGGTAGGAGTGGCTGGGGGAAACAAGGAAAGCAATGGGATCTTGGATCCTAATGTTTGTGTGATGTAACTGGTCATGAAAATTATCTGTGTGAAATAAATTTTGTCAACAAAAATAGGAATATAAGATGTGTACGTTGTTTTTTTTTTAAAGGAGGAATCCAGAGAAATATTTGTCTGCTGCTAAAAATGTTTCACTTTTCTTACTGACAAAACTTGCTTCTGCTTTCTTTTTTAGCCAAAGAGAGGATAATTAATAATTTGAAGAGGTTTGAGAGTCCCAAGCCACTTCTTCCACTCCAGACGATGAAAGCTCCTGTGCCAGTTATTTCCTCTGCCAGTCTAGTAAGTCAGAAAGAAGCAATTCAGCTCATGCGCATGGACCTTAACATCTTGCAGCGACATGCCAAGTAAGACATAGCTGTTTTCCTTCTGTCTCTCTAGTGTGTCTGACAGTGTCTTCAGGTGCCCTTTGCAGCAGCCTCATTTGTGGTGTTGTCAGAAGACTGTCAGTACTTAACTTCTGCTTCTTGTCCCAGTTTTTGGGTTTTTTTGTGAGTGAAAGAGACTTTGTTTTTAATATTATTTTAAGAGATCCAGCTGAATTATTTCCAAACTCAGATGATGAATCTATAGCTGTTCTCACCCAATGTAGTAATTTAATTTGCTAAGCCCAAGAAAGGATGTGTCTAGACAATTCCAGCAGCTATTCTAGGTGGAGTTTTTTTTGTTGACTGAATCATCCCACAGTCTGGCTTTTTTTCTGGCGGCAAATTGCATTTCCTACAGAGGATGATCTATTTTCTTCCAGGTTGTCATATAGAATAATTAAAAGAACTCATACAGGCTTGAGTAGCTTTGTTCTTATGAACCTATTCCTTTATTACTTTGAAGTGCTATTACTTTGAAGTTTTAACTCAATTTCATTTAATAACCTTTTATGTTTTCTAGAAAGGTGTCCGGAGTCTTTGTGCAGGGCATTTAACTTAAGTCTCATCTCTTGCTTATATATTCTTAGCATTACTATTTTCAGTAAAGGTTTTGGTAACTTTATATGCTTTTCAGAACTGCAGGTCTCTGGGAATCTCAGCACGTTGCTCTCAATAGTGAAATATTGGACACAGTACCCAAGCTCTACGTCAATCGGGAAGAGCAGATCACCCTCCGTTTGGAATGCAGAGGAACTTCAAATAAAGGCTGCCAGGGAGCAGCTCTTCTACCAATCCAGGTTAGAGATATGGCATCGCTTCTGTTTTGGGGCTGTTGGACATGGATAATGAAAGTGAGATGACTGAATAGTTACCAGAATGGTAGCAGTAGACCAAATAAATCCATAATAGTTACCTGAAACAGATGATAAGTAATGCACAAAAGAAGATGCAGATCAACAGCTGAAAAATAAGTTGCATAAATTTTGTTTTGCTCATAGCATCCATTCTAAACTGCTTCCCAATGTGGGAATATGCTCACTGATAGGAATAGAAGCATGAAAGTGTTTATAGAAATATTCCCATGTTTCTTGGTATGTGAATTTCTTGATCCCCTCTAAGTTTCAGTCTCTGTGGATTAAAAATTGTACATAAAAGACCTGAAGTATATTACTGTGTGATAATTAAATAGGAACATGACCAAGGATGTGTGCTTGGGCATGATGTGCTAAATCTGATCAAAACTCTCAGGGGAAAGCCCATCTGTATTCAGAGTTCTCTTATTGGGCTCTGCTTCATTTTTGCAAATAGGGGCAACATCAAAGAATTTTAGCAGAAGATATTATTCTGAAATGAATATGTGTCTTTTTGTCATTTAGTTTGAAGGGAAGCATAAAAATGAAGCAGTGAGCCAGCAGCTTCATGCTTTGCGTAAAGAAGTGAGACAACTGCAGGCAGAAGCTACGAAGCCACCTTCTCTGGGTGTTGTGGAAGCAGCAGCACATGTGGAAAATTTTATAACGTAGGTTGTTCAGACACTGTTGTAGGTAGTGATGTTCTATATTTCTTTACCTGTGTATTAGAGTTAAAATGTGGAACCTGTTTGTGTGGTTTTTTTTGTAATGCTTATTAGCTTGGGTCAACAGCAGAGCTGGAATCCTGAGACCTGTATGTTTGTGACACAGAACTCTATAGAAATTATTCTGTGTATTATCAGAAGAACTAACTGCTGGTCTTCCAGTCTCAACAGGGCACACAACAGTGTTGTTTTCTACTTCAATTTATTGTACTGTGTATTAGAATAGCGCTTCTAACCCTGCAAAAGCATCCTCTGTGATGACAGGGATGCTCTGTGAAACTTTAGGAGATGGTAAACTTGTACCACAGCTATTTCAGCCACAGGCTGAATTGTATTTTTTAAAGATATTTCTCTGTAGGTTTTTCCCTCTAATAGCACAGGACGTAGTTCTTTAATAGAAAGTTATAAGTTGAGGTAGCTTTTCAGTAAATGAAACAAAATCGTGCAGTGGAAGAGGATATATATAAAAAATTTTGATTTTTTTTCAGGAGGTGAATAAGTAGATTAGTCCAAGACCCTCTTCCTCTTGAAGGCCTTTTAGAGCTCGTCCCACAGGTCTAGTTTTGCAACACCATTCTTCTCAATTTTTGAATTTCTGCAGGAATTCTTTTAGTGTGATTTGGTTTCCTACAGAGTGTACTCACTGTACAAGTAGAAATAGTAAGCAAATATTTGTACACTTTAATTTTTGATCATTAATCTGAAAAATTCTGTGGATGAGCTGGTTCTTGAGATTTACATCTGGGGAATTTAATGTTCTTCATGTTTTAATTCAGACACAGTGAAGATGGGGGTTTGAGCTCAATAAAATATTTATTTAGCAATGCATAAGAGAACATTCTGTTTTTAATTCTTTTATTGCTAAGCCTGTTAAGAAAAAGAGGTAAATTTTTCTTGCAGTACAAATGTAGTTGAGATGGTCTAAGAGTTGAGGGAGAGATAATCTATTGAAACTATGCTGTGAAAAATCTTCTGGTGATTACTTTCTGACTCTGATTATGGAGACTTTCTGGTTTGGAGGTACCCATTTCAGGCAGCAAAATTACTTAAGCTAAACCTGGGACTGTTCAGCCTGGGTGTGAGAACTCTCAGGAGGTTCTCATCAATGTATAGAAATACCTAAAGGGAGGGTACAAAGAAGATGGAGCCAGGCTCTTTTCAGGGGTGTCCAGTGACAGGGCAAGAAGCAATGGGGACAAACTGGAACAGAGGAGAACACCGGGAAACACTGGTTTTAACTGTGAGGCCAGAAATATCCATCTTAAGGCTATGTATTGGCAAGAAACCTTTCTTTATTGTCACAGATAATTTTCCATATATAAATTTTATCTGCCCTTTTTTTTTTTTTCCCAGAGCCTTAATGAATATCTATAAGGTGCAGCCTATGCCTGCAATTAAGAAAGTCGGAATTAGTTTGTTTTTTACGTTAGTGGAATACGTGTGTGATGAAACTCAACGTAATCCTCCCACCAGGCAGTTCTTCACATCCTGCATCGAGGTTCTAGGCCAAGTGAGTTTATTCTCTGATTTTTGCTTGCCTAGTGCTTATCCCAATTCCCTGCTGATATTGGGTGTCTAAAACATTCAGAAGCCTGAAAATTAACTTCTTAAGCTTCTATCCCATTTTCCTTTTAAGTAATTGTATAATATACACAGTCTTTAGGAGGGTTTAAGCTTGCATATAAGCAAAATAAAAAATTATTGCTCTGAGATGCCTGCTTAGTGCTAGTAAATGCCCACTTTGTTAGCTAAAAGCTAAGGTAGGCTGGATTTTTGGGCAGGTAACTAAAGCTTGGCTACTTCCAGTGCATAAAAGGGTGTTTTGGCCTATATTTTGCTGTTATTGATAATTTTCTAGCTGATATATATGTTGTCAACTTCTCTGTTTAGGCGCCTCGCTTCTGCAGCCTTGCAATAAATATTCTTTTTATAAAGAGTCAGCCAGAAGTTTACTGGTAAAGCACATAAATGCGTGTCGTTTTGGTAATATTTCCTGCAGAGAACACATAATGTGGGTGCTGTAAGAAAAAGCACTGGCCTCTGCTTTGTGTCCAGGAATTTATCTTCATCTCTTAAATCTAGTTTGTTTTGTGCAGCTGTCCTTAAGTGCCTCTAACAGCTGAAGTGCTGAAGAGCTCTCCACAGGCATAGTTCTCAGACAGGGCTGCTGAAGTCTGGATTCATTTTATTTTCTTCAGAAAAATTGGATTTCTAGGTACTTTTGTGCAGAGTGTTTGTGGTCACAAGCACTGTTCTTAAGTGTGCTAGGGAAGCATGTTTAATTTTCGTTATATTTTGTGGAAAAGCAGTATTTAGTTGAAGTTGATGTTAAACAGTCTGTCATTTTTGAGAAAACTTTTTAGTTTTTTGAAAGGACCAAAAATTGTCCTTGACAAAAAGCTCTGAGTTTGTTTGTTTGTTTTTTTTCCCCTGGTAGATTCATAGTAGGCTTTTTTTCTCCCCATTCCCAATTTCCTCAGGTGTTCATCAGTGGGACCAAGTCAGAGTGCAAACGTCTCCTCCAGACAATCCTGCAGAATCAAAGGCTCTGTACTCTCCTTTCTCCTTACTTCACTCCTGTTGCCTCTCCCAGTGAGTTTGTGACTTTATATGAAAAAGTCGTGGCCTTTCTGAGTGAGGATAACAGTGATGTTGTCTTCATGCTTCTGACAAAGGTAAAATACTTGTGAATACTGTGTCTGGTTTGTGGGTTGCTTCTGTGGATGTTCATCAGAATAGCCAATGGATCCCAGGTATCTCAAAATAAAAACAACAAAAAAAAAGTTGGGAACAGGACTGAATCTTCCCCTTGTGTTTGGTGGCAGGGACATGCATGCCACGTGCAATCTGAAAACATACAGAGTTGGGTAAGAGCAAGGGATTGGTCTATCTCCTGTTTCAGGACTGCGTGATACTACAGAGAGTAGCCCATCTAATGCTTGTAAGTGTTTGTTTGGCAGTGGTACCGAAGTGTGGAAATTCATACTCATTTTTATGAACCTGAGAATCTCTGCTAAGGGCTGTTTCATAAGTTCAGGGACTTCTGTAATATGTTGAATTGTAACCTTTAGAGAGCATTACCTTGGTTTTGAGCTAGGGCTAATGAGAGGCAAATTCTTTTTTTTTTCTTTATATATATATAAAAACTTCCATATTTTTTTAAGTGTGTTGCAGCTTCTGCTTACGAATGCTCCCTGTGCTGTCTTCTAGTTTGACCTTCCGCAATGGCTAAGTGCTGCTAAGCCACCTCTGTCTGAACGTACCAAGCTTCTGGAATCTATTCACTTGGCTCTCAGTGCATGTGGCCTTGAACCTGAAGAAGATATTTTGATGCCATTTAATATCTTCTGCAAGCATTGGACTAACCTTCTCCAGTATCGGTTCCCTGATCACTATAGTGATTTCCTGAGATTGTTGGTGCAAAGTGAGTATCTATGTTGATGCATACTAAACCTTTCATACAGAACTCTTCTGGCTTAAAGATATGAACTGCATGCAGTAGGTTTAGACAGCAACAAATACAGAATGATTTAAAATTTTAAAAAAGCTTTATGTGCATGTTATGTGATACATTTTTATTAGACATTTAATCTCTACTAGAAAGAAACTCTCTTCTCTAGGTCAAAGTACGTGCATCAGTGACAACAGATTTTCAGACCGTATTAGAGGAGAAGGATGAAGGAGAGGTTTCCTTTAATGGAAGCACTTATTGACTGATAATTATGCCACCATCTGTGATACACCGTCCTTGTTCTTGAGCACCCCTCGATGTCAAACTGAGAATTGTAATTATGGAGACCTGGGACTGATACTGAAATTTGCTGAAAATGTCCTGGTTGACATTAGATGCTATCTATAATCTGCTGTGCCTCTCAAATGAGAATGAAAGTATTTCCTTTCTGCCAAATCACCAGGGTTGTACTAAATGCCTAGGAACCTCTCTTAAGAAGAGAGCATGTAGATGCCTAGAGGGAATGTTAAATTTCTTATGTTTGGGAGTTAGATATCTTTCACCCTTAAATTTGGGCTTTTAAACTTTATTTTTTTTTTTTTTTAGTAGGGAGCTTTAATAACTTGCTAATTAAATAGTGAGCTCTAATTCTGAGTCTTATTATTCTGATTTTCACAAGTCCATTCCCTTCTCTTTCTCCTAAGGTTCTTCAGAGCACCTCCTAAGCCCTGACTGTTGGAAGGCATCACTTAAAGCTTTGGGATGTGGTTCATCTGTGACTGAACAGGGAAGCTTCAAGAAAAGTGATTCTACTGAAAGTCCCGTATTGCAGGATGCTGCAGAAATTCTCCTCTCTGCAGAACAGGTGGGTGCCTCTCTGGTTGATTTATTATGTTTTGCAGCTGAAACAGATGCCCACCAGTGACAAATAACACTGCTGTGCAATCTTTCTGTAGCTGATTAAATAGTTTCCCTCTTTTTCCAGGTTAGAGAGACGGTAGAATGGCTTTCCACATCTTTCTGCAAACTCCGACTGGCTTCAATGGACTTCAGGACTTTTGGCCTCTTTTCAAAATGGAGTCCTTACATGGCTGAAGTGAATAAATTTCTGGAGTATCTTATTAAACGACTTATTGACACCGAAGTAGACAACTTAGCCCAAGAGCCTGTTGGCAGTAACAGAATTCTAGCAGGTAATGTGTCTTAAAAGCAAGTATCTTAAGAATAGGTACTCAGTTTCTCTAATTTTCTCTGTTAAAGGGCAGATAAAGGTACAGTAAAACCAAAACCAGTTGTATTCTTAACCAGAGTTACTAATAAGCATTTTGTATTTAAAGTGTTTGTTTGACCAGGAAGAACTGATTTAATGTTGGAATAAGCAAAGGACATCTTATTACAGTTTTCCAAATTTGAATATGTACACTGTTGCTAATTTGAGCGGTGAAAAAAAGGCAACTTATATGTTTTATTTTCTTCTAGCATTGCAATCCTTGTATTCAGTCATTGCTGGTCTCTTTAAACCATGGATACTGGTCTTGGATAAGGAAGATGCAAGGTATATATTGTATTTCAAAATTAAATGATTTTTTTGCTAAAGTAAGGACTTTAACCCTGTAGGAATGGCTTTCATTGTTATCTGATTTTTTTAAATAATAGTTCTTGACTGTATTGTGACATTCCATTAAATAGCTGTGACCTGTGTCATATACTTATAAATTACCGAACTAATTCATGAGTCCCTTAAGTCAAATTTTCCGAGACTCAGATTGAGTAATTGTTCTAGATACAAGAAATATAACCAAGCTCTGGTCAGGAAGCTGAGATGAGAAAAATACAGATTGCACTTAGTTCTGCAAGCACTCAAATGTAAGTTTTAGATTCCATTTTTTAGCTTCTGTAATACTGATAACTCCTCAGTTTAAAATTACAAAAAAGCCAAAAAAAATACAATCCCAAATGCCAGTGGTACATAAGAAACCTTGGACCATATCAGTCCTGTGATGATCTGCTGTCTTGTGTACCTCTTTCTTCACATGGAGAGTTACTTGTAAAGCTATACACTTAAATTTGACTTACTTCCAAAGCCAAAAGCTATTTTTGTATTACCTAGTATATTGATTTACTGTGCTTTAGAATATTTAAATCGCTTAAGTGTTTATGATCTGTTTATGATCTGGAATCTCAGTACTGAAATTTGTGTTGCTTCATTTCTTCTTTTAAGTAATCAGGCGTGCTACCCTTGGTTGGAGAGTGACTCTCCTGTAGCATCCACTGTGGTGTCTTTGTTTACAGATTGTGTCAAGCTTTTGCATGAGAGCTTTAAAGGTGGGTGTAGTCCACACTATTTTAATGTAGTGGCACTTTGTCTTCTGTCAGAGCAAAAAAGATGGATTGAAATGTGGGATGTGAGGGGATTTTGTTTGTTATGAGCTTTTAGCCAAGATGATTGCTGCAGTGGTACCAGAAGCATTTCTTTATTTCATGTTTAAAAGCAAACATATGCAGTAGCCTGTCCCAGTGACCAGTACATGTGTCTCAACAGCTAGTCTTGGAGGTAATTTAATCTCAACTAATTGTTTTGAGCTCCTATTTAGCCTTGCTTATTGTGCCTAATTTGTAGTTAGACAAGGGACTGAAAAAAATTAATTTCACAGTACCTCTTGACAACTTTTAGGGATGAACTAGATTTGAACCTAAATTATAAAATAAATAAATAAAAATAACATTATTGTATGCTTTGTAAAATTGAAGATGCATATGTTTTTTTCTTTGAGAAATGTATTATTAGCATAACTTGCATTTATGGTTTTTCATCTTCAAAATTGGACTTCCTTCTGTAATTAAGATTTTTCTGAATTTTTTCTGTTGTTAATTCAACTATTTTCTTTTAATCTAGATAAGCTGTTGCCAAGCCACCATGGGGCTCTCTGGTTACATCTAATGCGTTACTGTGAATGTTGCACAGCCCCCAAAATGCCAGAATTTATTCTCTGTGCTTTCCATACTGAGTTCAGAAGGCTTCCATGGAAGGAAATGCATCCAGACCAGATGCTTATGGAAGAGTTCTTTAAAGTGAGTACTGTTGAGTCTCTTGAAAAGGTTCATAAGTGGTGTTGCCCTTGAAAATAACTGGAGAGCTGGAAATGGTTCTTTTAGCAAGTAAGCTTTTGAAGTTCGTTGTAGCGTTCAGAGCTGTTCATTTTCTGGTTGATTTTTGTGAAGGAGTGCTTTTGAGTCTTAGACAAACTTGTGGGGAGCTGCAAAGCTGGCAGTATTTGTCATTATGCTGTCTGAATGTCTCATTTATTACATATATATTTAATATGAATATTTAGTTAGAGTGAATATTTTTTACTCTTGCCATGTTGTTCTCATTTCCAAGATGTCTTGAGACAATGTAAACCTGCAGATAGGTGTGGAAGTGCTTCAGCATTTGCTGCTTATCCATTTGAGATAAGTTCTTCATGCAGTTCTAAACAGGCTCAGAGTGTTTTAGGTTTTCTTCGAGTGAAGAGAAATGGATGCAATTATGCAGCTACGAGTTTGTAAGAGATTATTTCTTTCTGGTTGGCAGTAGCTTGGTATTCTGTACTGGCTGTTGGAGAGACCTGGAAAGTTATATGTGCAGGTGTTCTGGTGGGGGGCAAAAGGATGAAGTGGCATCTGTCCACTCCTCTGCTGACCCAAAATGCTGCTGTGGATTTATGGTTGGCTAAAGAACTGAAACGTATGAAAGTGTTTACATCTTCTGTTGTTT